GGGTCAGTGCTACACAAAGGGACCCAGGAAGTCAGGAAGGTCACAAGATGGAGGCGTCTGGGGGTGACGTAGCATATAGGGAGGGGACTAAGCAAAGGGAACTCAGTCCTCTGCCGTCCCACTCCCACGTGGCACCGCCCCTTGCCTCAGGAGCACAAGCTCCGCTACTTCCTTGTACCCAGCTTATCTCACATAGCACTGCCCACTGCCTCAGGGCTTCTCCGTACCCAGCCCATCCCAGTTCACCACGACTCTGCCTACCACAGCCCCTGCCTCGACTTCCAAATATACCTAGATCTTACCCTAATCTTGCCACAGCGCCCACCTGGTAGTTGCTAACATCAGACAGTCCCTCACACCAAGGACCATAGCGCACTGGGTCCTTCTGTCCTCCACCATCTCCTGAAGTCTGTCCAAGGTCACGTTTGTGGCTCCCTTGACACTATCTCTCTATCTCATCATTTGCCATCCCCTTCTCCTTTTGCCTTCAGTCTTTCCCGACATCAGGGCCTTTTCCAATGAATCCTGTCTTCCCGTCGTGTGGCCACAGTATTTAAGCTTCAGCTTCAGTAGTTGTCCTTCCAATGAATAGGCTGAATTAATTTCTTTAAGCATTGACCAATTTGACCTCCGTGCTGTCCAAGAGACACACAAGATAGAAGTGTACTAGGATGATGTTGAATGCTTTGTTATGGCTTCTAAAAGGTATCATTCTGTCATGTTGGAGATTCTACCCCAGCTCTGCTTTTCTCACCCTTTTGTTGACCATGAGGACTGCTCCATTTTTCTGAGGGATTCTTGCCCGTAGAAGTCTATGTGGTAATCACCTGAATTAAATTCTCCCATTCCTGTCCACTTAAGTTCAGTGACATCCATGCTGTTGATGTTTAATCTTTCCATCTCCTGTTTGACCACATTCAGCTTCCCTTGGGCAATCGATCTGAAGTTCCAGGTTCCTACACAATATTGATCTTTGGTCACCAGACTCATCTGCAGCTGAGCTTCCTTTTGGCTTTGGCCCAGACACTTCATTGGCGCTGGAGCTCCTTGTAGTTGTCCTTTGCTCTTCCCCGGTAGCATTTTGGACACCTTCTAACCTGAGGGGCTCAATTTCCTATGATATCTCTTTTATCATTTATTATTGTCCATGGGGTTTTCTTGGCAAAGATACTGCAGTGGTTTGCCATTTCCTTCTCCAGTGGATCGCCTTTCGTCTGAACTCTACACTGTGACCTGTCCGTCTTGGGTAACCCTGCATGGCATAACTCATGGTTTCAGTCAGCTATGCAAGCCCCTCCACCACGATCTGTAGTATGTGTTATGTGAAGACGTTCCACACTCAGTTTCCTGCTTTTTCTTTGGGACCTCCCTTGAAGTCTGGCTCCAGACCCCCTCGTTCCTCCAAAACTGCTCTCACCAAAGTTACCGGTGATCTCTTGGTTGCCCAATCAAAGGCTTTTTCTCGGTCCTCATTCCTCTTGACCTCCCTGTGGACTTTGCCACTGTCGTTCACCCTCTCCTCCCTCTCTCGGTTTTCCAGGACACACCCTGTCCTGTTTTTCCTCCTACCCATCTGACCACTCCTTCTTGGTCCCCTTGTTCTGTCTTCATCTGCTGACCGAGGGTGTCCTCCCAGGCCCTTGCTTGGCCCTCTTCTCTTCTCCGCCACACTCCTCTGCTTAGTGATCTCATCAGCTCCCACAGATGCAGCGCTCTCTATGCAGCTTACTCTCTGGTCTATTTGTCCAGCCCTAAGCGCTCTCCCGACTTTGCCTTTCTGTGTGTCCTGGGGGTTCCATACTTGAGGGCTGGAGAGCATTCCATTTCCTTTATTGTTTGTGGTCATGTGTGCTTTGCTTGCCTGGTTCCGCTCATCAAGGGAAGGGCTGATATTCGAATTAGTGGTTTTCTGAATTAGCTTGCCTTAACTTCTCATGGAAAATAGGAAAAATAGAGTTAAAGTCTTGGCAAGACTCTTTAAATAATCAGAGTGCATATATAGGTGGTGATATATTTGATATGATCTGTTCTAACAAATCCTACCTTAGATTCTTTTAGAATTTCTCCTCCCAGTGTGACAAAGCACTTCTCGTGGGGCAGGAAGTGACCAACCGTCAATCTTGGCAATTCGCTAAGCTTGTCATTGTTGTTTTTGTAAACTCTCAGGTATGACTTCCACTTATTCTGGGAAAGTCAAGGCCTAGAGAGGTCAAAGTGCTTGTCTGAAGTTGTGTGGCCTGGTTCAACAAGAATCTTGGGTTCTGCATTTGGAGTCAGTGCCTGGGCCTTTCTGCTAAAGTGGGAGAGCCCCTTTACTGAATAATGCTGTAAGGACAGGGGATTGTAGAAATGGTATGGTGGCGATCATGGATATTCTGGTCACATGTAGTTAAGAACTTTGACTAAGTTAAGCATCTCGGATGATGGGGGGAGGGAATCCGATGCTGTGGAGCAGCGTTTTTTAAACCATGGGTCATGACCCTGAAAAATTTGGCAACGGTAAAGTGTTTCTGAATGCACAATGACGAGAATTAATTAACCATCAAAAGCATAATGAATCCGAGATGTTTCTGGCAGCACTTGCCCGTGGTGCCTCGAGCAACTTCACTGCAGCCTATGTTCTGAACACACAGCATGCGCACTTGCACCGCGCACACCCTCAGGCCACGCAACATCAGCTAACATGACCAAAACTTGAAAAGTGGAAAAAGCTCAAGGGGCCCTAGCACTGAGAGTCCTCACCGCCCAGTAGTTCTGCCGAAGAGCGTTAGCAAGAATTTCAATCCAAAGGTTTGCTGAGATGGGGAAAGAAGGGCCGGGGCAGTCAGTCCTGTTAGATGCTCTTTGGTCTTCTCTGTTTCTCGTTCTTCTTACTTGCTTGTTTGCGCCAGGAGGTGGAAGCCGTACTGTGGGGTGTCCCAGTACGATGGTCAGAGTGCTGTCCGTCAGTCACTCAGTAAATGGTATGCTGAGCACTGAGGACACAAAGAAAGGCAGAAGACAGTTCCTGCCCTCAAGGAGCTTTCAGTCCAGTGGGGGAGGCAGACATGCCTGTACATAAGTGTTTCTTCAGTTCTATGGACTCCTGCTCTCCAGCACAGCTTCCGTGGCAGTGCCGGACGTGTCCGGTAAGCAGCTAAATAAATTGAGGTGACATGTAAAGCTCTTTGCAGACCTTAAAGTGGCTTGTAAATGAAGGTGTTACTACTGTTAGTATGTCATTTGCCATTTTCACACCTCTGGTATGGATAATCAGTATCTGTTTTGAAAAGAGTGACCTCCGAGGTAACAACTAGTGAGGAGCCTCATACGGTCTTAATATTTGCCTGGGAGACGCGGTTCCCATGCAGGGACCATCTGGGATGAGGCTGGAGGCAGGAAAGATCCCATCGGGTGGGGACTGAGGAAGACTCAGGCAGCCGGTTTTCTTGAGCAGGGACATTTTCTGGCTTCCGATTTTGTGATTGTTCTGGAAAGCTGAGGAGGGCCAAAGTCTGGCTGTTGGACAAATTGTCCCAAGTCAGACAAAACTGCTTTGGGGCACTATGTACAGTCACATTCGTTAATTCAGATGCCTGTAAGTGGGAATTCCATGAATATCATGACAACTTCCCAGACCAAGACAGCCTCGCCATCGCCTCTTGTAGGAGACTGGGAGATGTGTTCCAGTGTTGGAGAGGCAGAATGAGTCAGGCCCTGCCCTCCAATGCCTGACCTTCTGCCTCAGCAGATGTAAATGCCTAGTAATCTAAGGAAAGAGAGTCAACCAAGAAGGTAGTCAGGGAAAGCTTCCATCAGGAGCCAATACCTTTGCCCAGCCTTGAGGGAAAATTTTGACAGGTTAGGTTTGGAGAGCAATTAGAAGCTCATTCTAGATAGATTGAGGAGTCCATGGAGGCAAAGTAACATAAAATCAGTAAGGTTGGAGAGGTGGATTGGAGCCCTTTGACCCCCGGGCCTTTAAAAAGTGAGCATTTTCTCCTGAAGGCCACGAAGAGCCTCTTTCGGCTTCATTAATACAGACCTCTGCCTTCCTTTGGCAGCTTTGTGCAAGAGAGATTGGGGGCAGGAATGGGAGGAGGGGACTGGATGCTGAGTATGTCCAGGTGAAAGATGATAAAGGCCAGACCGGGAGGGATTTGTGAGTGCACATAGGAGGGGGTAAGTGGGTATGAGGGACATTGGTGGAAGTCAGAATGATGAGATGTGGCTGCTGATGGGGACGTGGGAGAGAGACAAGTCCAAGGCCACGTCATGTGGACTGTTGTGGCGTCCTCAATAGAAACAGGTGATAGTACGTGGGAGATGCTGACTAGGCTTCAAGGGAAAATGTCCGTGAGACAATTGGCAAGGTTGGCCTGGAGTGCAGGAGAAAGCTGAAGGCTGATATTAGGAGGAGAGGAGTCATTGATTGCTTTGCTGTAATAATTCATGGGAGCTGATGAAGTCACCAAGATGGTGTGGAAAGAAAAAATAGGGGCACCCTGGATTGGGGGGCTTCCTCTATCATGTGTCACATCTGCGCACGGCCGCTATCACAGGAGTTTGTAGGGAGCTACTCTTGGCAGCAGGAATTCAAATTCAGTGGCCCAGAAAGAGAATAATTAACAATAATAATAGCTAACATTTTTATAACTCTTACTATGTGCCAGGTACTATGCTAAGCACTTTACAAATATTATCTGATGTCATCCTCACAACAACCCTTCAGAAGCATTTTACAAATGAGGAAACTGAGGCAGACAGCGGTGAAGTGACTTGCCCAAGGTCCCGCAGTTAGTAGATGGTTGAGGCTGAGTTTGACCTTAGGTCTTCCTGACTGGCTGTCCTTGGTTGTGTGGGGGGTGTGGATCAGTCATCATGGTGACTCAGAGGGGAGGAGGTATGGGAGAAGGTCCTGTGCTCCCTCCTACATACACACAGCTCGTTGCCTTTGTCACTGTTTCAGATCTCATGTGAAAACAAACCCCTGAATGCTTTTTTTCTCCCCCTTTTCACAGCTGCACTAAAGTCTTCCCCAGCTGACCCGAATGGAAGTCGGGAGAACAGCAGAGGCCAACTGCAGGACAGCCTGCGCCTACAGGAAGGGGAACTCCTGCTACAGGTGAGGGATGGGGCGGGGGGGGGGGGGGGGCGGGGGGGGGGGGGGGGGGGGGGGGGGGGGTGGCGCGAGGCCGAGGTGATTCAGGTTCTTGTGGGGAGGGATTCCTTGGACAGGCTGACCAGCACGCACTGCCTTCTGTCCTTTCTTATGTTAAAACCCTTTAATGATCTCACTTCATTTACGGCTCAGGGCCTGTAACTTCACACAGTCATGTGTAGTCGGATGCAGTGGAAACAGTTATAGCATCTCACTGATAATCAGTGCCTGAGCTGGGAATTGAACCCTGGTGTCCTGCTTCCATCAGGGCTCTTCCACCATACCATTTTACCTATTGCAAAAAAATGGGACCCACACACCTGCAGGTCCTGCTTTTGACAGTGGCCCAGCATCTCTGCCCTCCCCACTCGAATGGCCTGTGCGGGTTCTGTGTGGCCACGTTGTCCAGTGCGGGGCAAGCTGGGATGGCTTCTGAGATTGGCTTCTAAATGCCCTTGGAATCTGTGCCTGCCTCACCCCCTCATATGGGGGCGCATCACCTTTCCTGGAGAGTTCTGACTCTTGGAAGCATGAGTCATAATCAGACTTTGGAAACTGAATCACCCTATTTTTTTATCTAAATTTTATTTTATTTTTCTCAATTACATGTAAACAAAAAAAAATTTAACACTTTTAAAAATTTTTGAGTTCCAAATTCTCTCCCTCCTTCTTTCCCCCCACCTTTGAGAAGGCAAGCATTTTGAAATAGACCATACATATGTAGTCTTGCAAAACACTTCCATAATAGTCACATTACAAAAGAAAACACAGACCAAAAAAAGAAAGTGAAAAATGACATGCTTCAATTTGCATTCATACCCATAGCTCTTTCTCTGGAGGTGGATAGCAGTTGTCATCATAAGTCCTTTGGAAATTTTCTTGGATTATGGTATTGCTGAGAAGAGCTAAGTCTTTTACAGTATTGCTGTTACCATGTACAATGTTCTCCTGGTTCTGCTCACTTCACTTTGCTGCAGTTCATATAGGTCTTTCCAGGTTTTTCTGAAAGCATCCAGTTCATCACTTCTTATAACTCATTGTATTCTATCACAATTACATACCATAACTTCTTTAGCCATTCCCCAATTGATTGGCATCCCATCCATTTCCATTTTCTTGCCACCACAAAAATAATTGCTGTAAGCATTTTTGTACATATAGATCTTTCCCTTTGATCTCTTTGGGGTACAGACTCAGTAGTGGTATTGCTGGGTCAAAGGGTATGTACAATTTTAAGTCCTTTGGGCATAGTTCCAAATTGTTCTCCAGAATGGTTAGGTCAGTTCACAACTCCACCAACAATTCATTAGTGTTCCAATTTTCCCACATTCTTCAACATTTATCATTTTCCTTTTCTGTCATATTAGCCAATCTGATAGGTGTGAGGTGGTACCTCAGAGTTGTTTTAATTTGCATTTTGCTAATCAATAGTGATTTAGGACATTATTTCATATGATTATAGATAGCTTTAATTTCTTCTTCTGAAAACTTCCTGTTCATATCCTTTGACCATTTATTAGTTGGAGAATAACTCATATTCTCGTAAATTTGACTCGATTCTTTATATATTTAAGAAATAAGACCTTTATCAGAGAAACTTGCAGAAACTTTCCCAGTTTCCTGCTTCTCTATTAATCATGGCTGCATTGGTTTTGTTTGTTCAAAAACTTTTTAATCTGATCTAACTAAAATTATCCATTTTATATCCCATAATGCTCTCTGCCTCTTCTTTGGTCATAAATTCTCCCCTCATCCATAAATCTGACAGGTAAAATATTCCATGTTCCCCTTATTTGCTCATATCACCCTTTATGTCTAAATTGGATGCTCATTTTTACCTTATCCCACTGTACCCACTGTATTCACTGTAAGATGTTGGTCTATAACTAGTTTCTGCCAAACTACTTTCCAGTTTGCCCAGCAGTCTTTGTCATATAGTGATTTCTTATCCCCAAATCTAGCATTTTGGGGTTCATGAAACACTGGATTTACTGTGGTCATTTACTACTGTGTATGGCGTACCTAATCTATTCCATTGATGCACCACTCTATTTCTTAGCCAGTGCCAGATTGTTTTAATGATTATAACTTTGCAATACAATTTGAGATCTGGTACTACTAAGCCACCTTCCCTCACATTTTTTTTTTCATCAGTTTCCTTAATATTCTCGAACTTTTGTTCTTCCAGATGAATTTTGTTATGATTTTTTTTTTCCTAACTCTATAATGTTTTTGTAATTTGATTGGTATGGCACTGAATGAATAAATTAATTTAGGTAGGATAGTAATTTTTTTTATTATATTAGCTCAGCCTACCCATGAGCAATTAATATTTCTCTAGTTGTTTAGATGTGACTTTATTTGTGTGAAGAGTGTTTTATGGTTGTGTTCATATAGTTCCTGGATTTATCTTGGCAGGTAGACTCCCCAGTATTTTATATCGTCTACAGTTATTTTAAATGGAATTTCTCTTTCTATCTGTTGTTGCTGGACTTTGTTGGTAATACATAGAAATGCTGATGGTTTATGTGGAACTTTGCTGAGGTTATTAATTATCAAATAGTTTTTAGTTGATTCTCTAGGATTCTCTAAGTATGCCCTCATATTGTCTGCGAAGAGTGATAGTTTTGTTTCTTCGTCACTTATTTTAATTCTTTTAATCTCTTTTTTTTTGTCTGATTGCTATAGCTAGCATTTCTAGTGCAATATTGAATAATAGTGGTGATAATGGGCATCCTTGTTTCACTCCTGATCTTATTGGAAAGATTCCTAAGTTATTATCCTTATGACAGATAATGATTGCTGATGGTTTTGGATAGATATTACTTATCACTTTAAGGAAAGCTCCATTTATTCCTTTGCTTTCTAGAGTTTTTAATAGGAATGAGTGTTGTATTTTGTCAGAAGCTTTTTCTGTACCTATTGAGATAATCATATGACTTTTGTTCATTTTGTTATTGATATGGTAAATTATGATAGTTTTCTTAATATTGAACTAGCCCTCTTTCCTGGTATAAATCCCACCCCCCACTCATAATGAATGTCTTTGTGATATATTGCAGTAAAGTTTTTGCATCAATATTTGTAAATGAAATTGACCTATAGTTTTCTTTCTCTGTTTCAGCTCTTCCTAATTTAGGTATCAGCAGTATACTTGTGTTGTAAAAGGAATTTGATATGACTCCTCCTTTGCCTATTTTTCCAAATATTTTATATAAAATTGGAATGAATTGTTCTTTAAATGTTTGGCAGAATTCCTTGGTGAATCCATTTGTTCCTGGGGATTTTTTTCTTAGGGAGCTCATTGATTGCTTGTTCAATTTCTTTTTCTAAGATAGGGTAATGTAAGTATTCTATTTCTTCTTCAGTTAATCTGGGCAATTTATATTTTTGTAAATATTCATCCATTTCACTTAGATTGTTAGATTTATTGATATATAATTGGACAAAGTACCTCCTAATAATTGTTTTAATTTCCTCTCCATTTGTGGTGAATTCACCCTTTTCATTTTTGATACTGGTAATTTGGTTTTCTTTTTAAAAAATCAAATTAACCCCCTTTTTTCTATTTTGCTGGTTCCCCCTCCCCCATAAAACCAGCTCCTAGTTTTACTCATTAGTTCAATGGTTTCCTACTTTCAATTTTATTCATCTGTCCTTTGATTTTCAGGATTTCCAATTTGGTGTTTATTTGGGGATTTTTAATTTGTACTTTTTCTAGTTTTTTCTTTTTTAGTTCCATGCCCAAGTCATTGATCTGTTCTTTCTTTTCTATTTTATTGATGTAAGCATTTAAATATACAAATTTAGTGCTGCTTTGGCTGCATTCCATCAATTTTATATGTTGTCTCATTGTTGTCATTATCTTAAATGAAATTGTTGATCGTTTCTAATAATTTGTTCTTTTACCCACTCACTCTTTGGGATTAGATTATTTAGTTTCTAATTAATTTTTAATCTATGTTTTCCATAACCGTTTATTGAAGGCATTTTTTACTGTATCATGTTCTGAAAAGGATTCATGTAATATTTCTGCCTTTTTGCATTTGGTTGTGAGGTTTTTATTCCCTAATACATGGTCATTTTTTTTGAAGATGCCATGTACAGCTGAGAAAAAGGTATATTCCTTTCTATTCCCATTCAGTTTTCTCTAGAGGTCTAGGATATCTAACTTTTCTAAAATTCTCTTCACTTCTCTAACTTTTTTCTTTTTTTTTTTATGGTTAGATTTATCTACTTCTGAGAGGGGAAAGTTGAGATCCCCACTAGTACAGTTTTGCCATCTATTTCCTCCTGTAACTCGTTTAATTTTTCCTTTAATAATTTGGATGCTATGACATTTGGTACATACAGTATTGATATTAATTCATTGTCTATGATACTTTCAGTAAAATGTAGTTTCCCTACTTACCTCATTTAATTAGATCTGTTTTTGCTTTTGCTTTGTCTTAGATCATGATTGCCACCCCTGCTTTTCTGTTTAACTTCAGCTGAAGAATAATAGATTCTACTCTAGCCCCTTATTTTTAACTGTGTGTATTTCTGTTTCAAATATGTTTCTATAAACAACATATTGTTGGATTTTGATTTTTAATCCATTCTGCTATCTGCTTCCATTTTGTGGGTGAGTTTATCCCATTCACAGTTATGATTATCAGCTCTGTGTTTCCTTCCATCCTATTTTTTCCCATTTATCCTCTCTCTCTCTTTCCCTCTCTCTCTCCCTCTCCCTCTCTCCCTCCCTCTCTCTCTCTGTCTTGCTCTCTCCTCTCTCTCTCTCTTTCCCTCTCTCTCTCTCTCTCTTTCTCCCTCTTGCTCTCTCTCTCCACCCCTCTGCCCCCTCTCTCCTCTCTCTCTCTTGCTCTCTCTATCTCTCTCTTCCCCCTCCCCCCTCTCTCTTTTCTCTCTCTCTCTCTCTCCCTCTCCCTCTCTCCCTCCCTCCTTCCCTCCCTCTCTCTTCCCCT